GGAAAGTTGAAATGCTTCAAAGATTACAGCAGAATAAAGAGAGAGAGAGGGAGAGGGGGAGAGAGAGAGAGAGAGAGAGAGAGAGAGAGAAGGCAGCTTGGCGTTCCTATATATTTCCGTTTTTATTTTCAAAATGTCTTAACACATCATTGAGTATTGTATTCCTTTCCAGCAGCTTTCTATTTCATATTTTAATAAGTGAAGCTTGGGAAATAGTTCCTTCTTTAGATTAATTTTAAGTACTTCCATGGCACAATATCTGTACTTCTCAATTACAGTATTTCCATATCCCATTAGTTCTACATCTGAAGCCCAGGTCGTATTTTTTTCCCCCAGCTCACTTAAAAATCAGTAATCTAATTTTAAGAGGAAACAACTTCAAAAACGGATATGGTACAAATAAGTGTTGTAAGTCCATTAAAATAAGTGTTCCATGATTTTCCACTAGACATTAGTTGATAAAACTCAGTAGGACGGCTAATATGATCATGCTCACAGGTGACTTGTGTGTGTCAAGAGATTTCACCTACTCATTCCTTGTCCAGAGACAACTGTTGGGAACTAGCTACTGTTCTGCTCCCCAAACACAACAAACCCTCGTACGTGAACTCAAAAAATTCCTTTATTAGAAGCGCCGGCATTCCTGGCAAAAAATTTCTCTCGCAAGCTAACAAGTCCGTCTGTCCAGAAGATAAATAGTTGTCTTCCACATCTATTCATCTCCTCCCCTTGCCTTATTATCCCCACAGTTAGGGTGGGGCTTATCTAACAGCAGTGGCTCTTCCTTCCCTAGAATCGGCCCATAGATTTCCACTGTTCTCCTCTCCTCTGCCTTCTGTGCATCCGTGTGTCAGGCACTGGATCCAGCTATTCCTCCTCTTCCTCATCAGCCACCTCCAGACCTGGGGGCTGTTGACTCGCCATCTGAGGGATGACAAACAGCCCAGGCTCCGTCTCTGTCTCTCTCTCTCTGCCAGTTCCATTCCCACTTCCCCCTCGGAGCTCCCAGGTTGCCCTGATACTGACTCCCCAGCCATCGCCTCCTCCTCAGTTTCCCAGGAAATAAATGAATAGATGCTTATGCGAATTGATAAATAATTTGATATAAAGTCTACAACGGCACCACTCCTTCGGGGCCCTATTTCTGAGTTGCTGGTCTTAATTTGGCTTCTAGGACTGATCTTATGTCCTCAAACTGGCCCTCCTGTCCAAAGTGGAGCTAATAAGATTTAATATATCAGTTGATGATAAGACTTTTAAACTTCAGGTTTCATATCGCTGACTGTTATGCTGATTAATGCTTGTTTGTTTGTTTGTTTGTTTGTTTATTATATTTATATGCCGCCCTTTTTCCCCGAAGGGGACTCAGGGCGGCTCACAACTCAAACCAGGGAAGGGGGATACAGACAAAAATTAAAAGACGACACATAACAATGCATAATTTAAAACACACAACAGTCATACCATTCGAGACGGGGGCAACAGTTCTTTAGCCCCAGGCCTGTCGGAACAGCCAGGTTTTAAGGGCTTTGCGGAAGGCCTGGAGGGTGGTGAGAGTTCGAATCTCCACGGGGAGTTCGTTCCAGAGGGTCAGAGCAGCCACAGAGAAGGCTCTCCTCCGGGTAGTCGCCAGTCGACACTGGCCGGCGGATGGAATTCGGAGGAGGCCTAATCTGTGGGATCTAATCGGTCTAGTAGAGGTAATTGGCAGCAGGCGGTCTCTCAAGTACCCAGGTCCAATACCATGAAGGGCTTTATAAGTGAAGACTAGCGCCTAATGCTAAGCTTCTGGAGTGGGAATATCATTTTTGGTTAACTGATTGAGACTTCTTTGAGACAATAACAGAAGGATTTGTAAGCTAGAATAAATTGTTGCCTTCCTCTGTGTTCCGCAGTGACTTCTATTTCTGTAAGTTGCAATGATTCTTAACGTTCAACAATATATTTTTTTTCCCTTTGAATCCTGGTTACCTCTTATTTTATATTTTATATTTGTTGCTGAAAAAAGGTTGCTGGAAAAGGATTATTTCTCCTCCGGGGTTGGCAGAGTCAACAGCATGTACTAATCCCACCATCGGTGACCAAAGTTCTGCCAGATGAGGATGGCTTTTTCATAATTAGGTTGTGCCAGAAAGGAAGCGAGTCCCTTTTTGTCTCGCTCCTGTAAATTAGATGAGAAAATCAATAATGTGAATCTTACATTATGAAATAACAAGCATGGATAAGAGAAGTGGCTCCCTTACAGAGAAAAGAAATAAACTGATATGTTTCACAGTGAAATGACATATACATAGTACACACCAAAATATCTATATTAGAACTTTTTTTTTAAAAAAAAAATCATAAGCAGTCTAATTTTCTAGCCCGAATATAGTAGTCGTGAGTAAAATAAAAGTATATTATCATGTAAAATTAGTCTTATGGGCTGCATTATCCCTTACATAAAACATTATTCTTTATGTGTTGAGGATTCCTTAATTGCCTGCTTATTTACTTAATACTGATTGTGATGTTTGTTAATGAATATCCTACATAATCAGTTAACTTTACAGATGGCTAAGGGATGTGTCACTTTTATCATCATTCAGAGTGTGCTTCCTCGTGATTAAAATATTGCTTTTAATAAACGTATTCTGATATCTCTCTTACAATAAAGATCCTTTAAATATAAGTAGGTTCATTGCTAAGCAATGCCTATTTTTTTAAAAGACAGGGCAGGACAATGGTTGAAAGTAATTCAAATAATTATTGCTAAATATTTGGATAGTATTTGTTGAGTAACACTGAGTTTGTATAAATTGATTGTATGGAGTTTTTCTTTTGACGTTTGAACTAATTTCTCTTTTGCTACTAGAAATTTTG